TGCTTTAAATCTCTTGTTCTTCAAAAGTAATTAATTTAAAGTTCTGTGCTAATTCAAAATTCAGTTCCATTTCATTTAAAGCATTGTGTTTTACTAAATTAAGTACAGAATGATCTGTATATATAAAAAGTTTTGTTAGACAAAGAATATATTTAAGTATTCAACCACTGTTTCTTTCAATTGCAGTTCAAGCTTAATTCTTCTGATTCATATAGAGTGATGAATTTGGGGGCAGTAAAACAGAGAGTCGGAGTACCTGATGATGCTCTATTTCAGATATTGAGAGTTTAAATTATTAAAGGCTGTGCATTAAGTGTCTGACAAAGCTAAATAGAAGCTCTTTGGGACAATGTGTTTAAGAGAAGAACAAAGATGTTCTGCAGGAGCAAAGCAGGACAGCCAAGCATTCAACAGGTGTTTATAAATAGGATCATGCAGGAACCCTCAGGACCGATTGCCTTCTAACACTTAATTCCTCCCTCTCTCATGCTGCAGAGCTTCCTGGTGAAAATGCAATGAGCAGACATGATCAACAGTCATTCAGCCAAAGATTTCTTCTCATCTTCTTCAATTCCTTACCACTGTTAGGCTACACTGTTGCCAAATCTTATATTCTCAATTCTATTTTTATCCTTTCTAGGTTTGATTCCTTCCTCAGAGTACTGGCTGCCTCCTGCTTCAATTTCTGGCTCCTTCCTTTTTTCTTTCTCTACCTTCCCCTTTCTCCAGTCCTTCTCCCCAAAGCTCTGACAAAGTGAAGTACAGGTTTTTTCCCCTCCTCAAAGTATTTTGTCTCCCTATCATATCAGGTTTTTCTCCTGGCACAGATCCACTTTTTGTTTTCTGTGCTCCATTTAACTCTTCTATTTTCTTACTGACATACACAGTCTGAGTTGTTATCTGTGTCATGCCTGCCCTTGTTGTTTACTTAACTGTCTCTGCTCATCTGTATATAGCTCTTCCATTTTATAGTTAGCTTGTAAATTCTTTAGGATATGGCACTCTTTTATTTCTGTGTTTGTACAGTATTCAGCTCAATTAGTGGGTTGTTTTATGAGTAGGACTGTGAGCTACTGTGAAAGTACAAATAACTAATAAGTTTTTGATCAAAGGTTCCTTTCCCCCCACCCTCTCCCTGGATATTTGACCAGATCAAATTATGTAGGTTATTTGTGGGATTGATAATAAGTAGCATTTTAAAATGGCACAGCTAGTTATCTGCAAATGTTGTCTCACAAATTTGCATTGCGCTACAAATTTAGAGCAGAATTTTGCTAATCTTTCTCATGTGAACTGACCTACTTAAGTCAGTGGACTACTAATATTTGCCACATAGTAAGGATTTGGCTTATAATCTTGGGGAAAGCATTTGCATGCACACTAGGAATATTGTCTAGTGTTTTTGTTAAAGGCTTCCTCCTCATTCCATTCCTCCTTATGAGATCTTTTTAACTTAAAAGTGGGAAGAACAAGGTAAGCATGATCTGACCCAGATGTGATGCCTAAGGAAGTTGTCTATGAACCTCTCTAATTCAAATGGTAAGAGGAGAAATTTATCTCTGGATGGGAGTTGTTATTTTGACTTCACAAAAAAAAGACCACTTGGCTCCTAGAAAAAATGAAAACACCTTTAACTGCTTAAATTACACCTAACAAATAAGGGGAGGAGGCTTAAAATGATAGACCATAGAAATCACAAAGTTTCAACGGATTGAGGACAAATAAGAGGCAGTGATTGGTGAGCTTATGTGGAAGGGCAGGAACGTGCTGTCAGGCACTGTAGAAATTGCAGACACCCTGGTCACAGAAATTCAGAGGTATTTACAAAGAAAATGATTTGCAGTGTTTTTTTCACAGACTGTCAGTGTGGCTTTTTTGAGACTTTACACATAATTCACATAATTTATTATCTCTTTATTTTCAATAATAAATCTTCTATAGAATTCTTTTTCTTGGAAAGGAGAGAACACATGTTCATTTTCCATATGGTTGTAGATATAAATTATTCCTATGCATTTTTACTCAACTGTGTTGCTTGATTTTTGGGATCAAATACCCTGCAACGTGACATTTCTTCCAGTTTCAGCAGTCATCATAGCAATGTGAGAAAGCTGCTCAGTGTTACCTCCACAGAGGAATCCATACTCTCTAATGCTGCGTGTCTAACTTGGGTGCCTGACTGGGAAACTTAAGCATCCAACAAACAAAATGGAGAAAGAGAGGTTTCTGATTCAGATACTCTTAACTGCCCTCCAGAAGCTACACTGAGTATTTAGGGAGCTGAGGTTCCTAACAGAAGCATCTAGGTTATTTTTCTAAGACCAGACAGTTTGAGTGTCTCCTGCACAGATGCTGAAGGGAAGTGCCTTCTTGAGCCAGACTGGTCTAACCATGGTGTTAAATAGTTGAGTGTAAACTTGCTGTTTGTTGTACTCTGCCACCGACTTCAGCGAAGTTGGCTGTTATGTGCAGTGTGTATTGCTCAGAGACCCTTTTGCCTTTGGAAGAACAAATCCAAGATGATGTAACAATGTGGCAGGGAAGGGCAAAATAAACCAGCTCCATCACATAGATTAGGGTCATTTTATACAAAATAAATATCAGTATTTGCAAGGCCTCCTTTCTCATTTCAATCAAATTCTAGGTATATTTTCTCATTCATTATGTTTACAGGCTCTCACAGTTACTTTCTGAACTGTAGCTAGTATTGTCATCAAGTATTTATGCTGTACTTGCTTCCAATAAAGAGGTAAAATGTTCAGAATAGTAGACTTCGGGATGGTCTGCCCAAAGCTGCTGGCAGGGCTGGATCCTTGTTTTGGGATACCGCTTTGTACCTAAGGCTTCAGCTATGTACCAGGCCATGCATATCCATAAAGAAAATGTTGCCAGTCGTGAGGCAGCAGGTCCTGCTTTGTTTGGTGTTGCTGCTGGCATGCTTACCCTCTAAACTGAGAATGGTTTTTGGGCACAGCCTCGAAAAGTGGATGGTACCAGTGTGTAAGCAGACGGGATATCCTAAAGTTGAAAGGATTTGATACGTGAGCAAGCATGGGCAAAGGCAGCAAGTGAATGAAGATAGGGCAGGCAGTGAGAGCTGCCGATACCACCACAGTATTGACTGATGCTCTCAATGCAGAAATAACATTTCTAGGATCGTCACCTACAAAAGCTGCATATAAATAAAATGTGTTCTATACAGGTGCAAGTACTGAATAACTTCTCCTACTTTCCCACCTTCTCAAATGTGAAGATTTTATAGTATTCATTTTTGCCAGGTTGAAGATGGTTCTGTTTTATTTTGCTTTATCAGTGAGAAAGGGAAGAAGGTCATTGCGCTGCTAGTCTTCTTTCTCTCACAATCTTACTTCATCCTGAAATTAGATGTTTATCCCTGGGCAGGTTTTTACATAGTTCTCCATTTTTTCCAGAGTCACATGCCTGTTTTATAGTAATAGCAGGGTACTTGAATTTACCTTCAAGAACCGTATGTCCTAGCTTCATTAAAAAGAAACAACAACAAAACAGAAAAACTGTGCAAGATTCGTGCAGGATTACACAAAGTGCTGTAGTAATGCTGACAAGTGAATTGTATTTTTTGTGTTCAATTCCAGGGCCTAAACCACAGGACTGTCCTTCTTTCCTCTAAATTGGTTTTGTGATTGTGTACTCCCTTTTCATGCTGTAGTGGTGGTTTTGGTACACAGCCATTTGTTTTCTATTCAAATGTCTGAACTTCAGTGGTGCTTATACCTTTTCAGAATATGCGCTTTCTGCAGCAAACAGTTCATGGTTTCATGAACAGATACTGAAAGCTAAAGGAAACTGCTTGTCTGTTCAGTTGAAAGAATTTTGCTGTAATATAAGCCGTTAAACACTTGGACTAAAGAACAAGCTTTATTTTGTAATGCAAGTGAGTAGTTTTCCTCTTCTACTTGTTTTCCTATTTCTGAGTGTACAGATTTCAACATTGCTTTCCCAAGGTGATGGGATAATGCAGTGAATGAAAGTAGCAGGTCTAACAAAACCCCGTGACCTGCAAACATTCCCTTTGTCCAGCTTTCCTTTCCTGTACAGGGAAGCCGCAGAGATTGTTTCCTGGCCCTCATTTTTTCCAGACTTTGTAATTTGTCTTTTATCTACAAAACTGGGGGGAGGGTGGGGGGTGTAAAAATAGCAGTTGCTTTATCTTACTTGTTCCGAATGGGTGCCTTGCCTCTAACGATTGCATTTGCACGGGCAGATACTTAGCAATTTCAGTAGTATTTATACAGGCTGACATTGAACGACTGTTGCTTTCGCTGCGTATGACAGTACCGACTAGCAGAAAATCGTGGCTGCGCGCTAGCGCGCAGTACGTGTCGATGCAAACCCGTTTAAGCAGCTTGAAGTTTTTTTCTCCCTCGTCCCCTCCCCGAATTTTCTTCGTGGCCCGTCTTCCCAGCAGAAGAGCTCGAATCGTTACCTGCAGCCTCATTTTTCACTTTGCTCCATGCAGATCCTGTGCGGTTGGGCAGCGAGCGGCTGGCTGGGAGGGGCCTGCTCTGATGCAGCACAGGCATATGACAGCAGGAGCAGCAACAGCCGCCGGAGCCCGTCGCCGGGCGGGTTTTGCTGCAGTACGCTGATTGCCACTTTACAGCATCCAGCAAGATCCCCAGCAGCAGGCACTCGGAGGAGACTCTGCGTGGGCACTTGTTTAAGGAGTACCTGACTAAACAATTGGGTTATTCTTTAACTGCGGGAGAAGTGCCTGTATTCCCTTCACGCAAGCTCCCTACTGGCTTTCTGCATTCATAATTTATCGGAGCCGTTTCTCCCTCCGTCTTTCTCCCATTACTTCTTTTTCTTTCTTTTTTCTTTTTTTTTTTTTCCCGATCGTTATTCGCCCCCCCGCCCCCCTCCCACCCCCAAATCTGTGCTGCATCACTAGCTCTCATTATGCTGTGCTCAGTAGCCCAGTGTGTTCTCCGCCTCTGCTAGGCAGTGGCAGCATGGATGGTGCTCTTGTGACGACCTCTGCTGATGCTATCAGTCCACTGCGGATAGGCATGCTGAGTAATCCTGCTGTAAATGGGCGAGGACACGGACACACGAAAAATTAACCACAGCTTTCTTCGAGACCACAACTATGTGACTGAAGGTAACATAAATACTGTCATTATTCTCTTCTTGCGTTGCATATTCTATGCCAGGAGTGCACTGTCATGTTTGGAGATGTAGGCTGTTCCTTTTCTTTTTTTTTTTTTTTTTTTTTTAAAACAGGGAGACTTTCAAGGCGTTTTTCTCTGTGATATAGCAACAGAATCTGTTTGGATTTGTTAAATCCCCAAGGCATTATGTCATGCTACAGCAGTATATGAAACTATATGGGCTGAAGAAGGTCTTGCATTGTGCTGAGTTTCTGCTAGTGAGGTGTGCAGCACCTGGCATTGAATGCACAGTAGCTGCAATGTGGAAGATTGGAAGCAGTTGATTGCTTAAAAAAAGATGAAAGATTTGAGAGTGCTAAAGTGAGAGAAATAATCTGTAAAGTTAACTGTTTGCTGGTGTAATAAAGGTTATGCATCTCATTTTGCTAATTATAGCCTGAGCATCACAGGCATTGCTGAGTTGATTGTTCCCTAGAGAACCGTATATGTTTAGAAGGGATATGTAAGCATCATCTTCTGAAATACTGCTGCCTTCTTTCCATCCTCTGTGTATGTGCAAGGTACATGAGAAAAGAAAATGTACCTTCATTTTAAATCATTCAGTGGCTGGTAGCTTATTACATAAAAAGGAATTTTTCTGCAGGTGACACACATTAAATGCTGAGAGAATTACCTTGAGACCAGTGAAATGGTTGGGTCAGGTACTGATCCATATTTCCTTGCCAGAAAGTTGGTCTAAGAGCAGGCCATTTTAAGATTGATTGATTGATTGAACAGGAGAAATGTATTTGTAGGTGTTTGACTTTGCAAATATATTTGTGTGTGCAGAGTTTTAACAGCACTTTCCAGCAGCAGAAACAGTACTTCAGTGTAGGCTCATATAATATGAACATACTTAACATCAGGGTCAACCAATACTACTTGAGACTCAGTCTCCAGATTCTGTCGTCATTTGGTCAATGCTCAGTCACTTAATACTCCCATGCTGCATCCTGAAATGTGATCAGCTGATGCTTTCTTGATTATTGATGATTTGCATTTTTTTAGAATGTGGAAAACAGCAGGATGATTTTGCCATACTGGGAACACAAAGCAGATTTTTCAGAAGAAAAATGAAAAATGCTGTGTACTGTAATTGTTACCACTGGCTGGTGTAATTGTTTGCTAATCTTGCCTCTAGGAGATTCTTTGCATTCTGGTTCATGTTTCAGTGCATTTTTTAATTTGTTTTGAATTTTTGGTTAATGCATTTTGTCCAAATGATGATTTATGTTTTGAGGTGTAGTCACCTGTAATAACATTTGAAGAAACTTTATCTTAAATTTATAAATTTGTGCCTTAGATTCTGCAAAACGAACAATATAATTACTGCAGTGTACTTGCTACATGTTGAGATTCAGATGTATATTTAATGGGCATGTGCAGCTATGCTAAAATTTGGACTTTCAAGTCTGTCAGTTTTGTAATCTGAGGAAAAGAATCCCTTGTGGATTTTGCAAATCAATATTCTGTTTTTTATGTTATGGGTGTTTTAAAAATTATATGGAGATTTTAAGTATTTTTGGGGACACTGCTGATGCAAGTGTTAGATTTTCTCTGTTTTATCTTCACTTGATATTTTGATCAGAAGGACTGGATGTTCTTCCGTGATTGCCCATGGAGTGGCTTGTCTGAAATGGGTCAAAATATACCTGGAATATCAATGTTGGCCTGTATTTTATTTTCCCTGTGATCAGAAGTTGTCATGAAATATGTTGGCATCTGATTTTGAGGTAGATGAAGTATGGGAAACCTTCAGTAGCAAAGTGTTTGTTCTTCAGCTCTGACTAGTGTAATGTTTTTTGGGAATGCTCAGCTGGTCAGCTGTAATAAAATTCTTCATATCTGTTATACCTGACATTGCCACGCCTTTTAAAAGACCATGAAAATCACGAGGGAATGGATTTATCTGTGAAATTTTTCCAGGGACATCTTCAGCTCAAAGAGGACCATCACAAATTTTAATTTCTCCTTGATTTACTTTGTTTAAAATGCATAATGAATACATAAGTTAAACTGGTGCTTAAAATGTTTTGTTTGTTCTGTTCCTTTTTTTTTTTTTAATTTTGTTTAAAGATTTGGCTTCATGAAGCAACCTTTAACACTTCTTATCTGTAAAGGCCTGAAGTCCTTTCAAAGTCCTTGCATTTGGCCCTATGATATGTTAGTGCTGCAGGTATGATAGTAACATACATATGGAAATGCAGTTGCCAGCAGTAATGTGTTACTTTGTTATACTGGAAAATAATTTCATTTGGGCCAAACCCAAGTCTTTTTTTGGGGGGGCGGGTGTCTTTGGCCTTGGTAATCCACTATTTAAAACAAAGAAATACTTTATATTGTATCCAGTGTATAGAGAAGTTACTGATTCATTGTTGTCTGTGAATAAATACAACTTTATCTTCTTTTTTCAGAGTTTTAAAATCTTGGTAAGGGGTGTCCTCTGTCCTTGCTGCTTCATGCAGTAGACTAAAGTCATTTACAGAAGGAGGTATTTCTGACCTTTATATGCACTTTTTTCTCTCTGTGTCCTGAGGAAAGTAAAGCCAACAATGATCAAGATGCGAGTTAGCTGTAGTATTGCTTTAGTTCTCTTCCTCTTTTACTTCTTCAGTGATTTAAAAAAAAAAACAACAAACAAACCCCCACCCCCCAAAAAAATCAGATGACATATAAATTCATAGGGTATAGGAAAACTGTGAGCCAAATCTGATTTGCTCTGCTCTCGCTAGTGGACCGAGAGTGTTCCTAACGAAACTGCTTGCTTGATGAAAGTTGAATTTAATCTCTTTGATAGGTCATTTTTTTGTAACATTGGGGTTATCTGTATCAAACATGACTTTACCTTGATTATGGAAAATTGAATTGGTTTTTAAATCTCAAAAATGTCTTGATTTGATGGTTGATGTTTTACTGTTGACGTTATACTGTTTCTGGTAGTAGGTGTTAGGGACACATATGACAACAGTGACTACCTGGACTTGTTTCTCCTGTTACATATGCATATCTGCAATAAAACCAATGCAATAAAACAAGCAGGACTTGAATAATTTTGTCATTGTAAGTCTTAAAAGTATGTTACAGTTGTACAATGGAAAAAGGCAATTTAATTCCAGCAGCAATATACAGTAAGTTTTTTGACAATCACTTTCAAAAGTGGTTTTCAAAGGAAACTGCTTTAATTGGAGTTGTTTGTATGGGGAAAACAGAAAAGACCTGATAAGACTTGTAAAGAAAGAGAGGAGAAAGACCCGAAGCCTAGAAAATGTGACCTGTGAGGAAAGATTGAACTTTTTTATGTGAAAGTGGTGAAACACAGGGATATATTGCCTAGGGAGCTTGTGTAGTTTCTATTACTGAAGTTTTTAAAAGCAGGTGACATAGATGTCTGTAAGAAATGACATGGGAATAGCTGAGCCTCCCGTGGGGCAGAGGGATGGGCTAGATGACCTCTGAGATCTGTTCAGGCTTGTGATTCATTGCCGAGCTGTGTTTTATCTTTATTGCCTTTTGCAACCCTGCTGTGGGAACCAGCTGCCCAGAAGGTGTTGGGTCAGTAAAATGTTTTATTTCCACAACGCCTTTAGAAGAACGAGAAGAGAGGAGAGGCACGGTGTAACATGGGAAAGAAGATGGGCTGGACGGGAGAAACATGAGCCTTTGTTACTTACAGGCAAAGTCTGTTAGGGGAGATGGCAAGAAAATTGTGGACAGGGAGTTGGGGGAAGGGATAAAGGAGGGAAAGGCTTGTGTGCTTTTGGGGGCAGAGAATGTCCTTCAGTGTGAGAGTTCCCTTGACATTATCTGTGCTTAAGATTAACGCTAAAACTGACAGGACTACTGATGTGCTTTGCTGTCTCAGGACCTTGGGATTAGCCATGCAGGATCTGGTTCAGAACAGTGAATTGTGTGGTATGGCTGCTATATTCCTGGCAGGGGTGGGCAAAAAGTTGTGGGAAACAACGGTACTGCTCCTTTGATCAACTGCACTGTTAATTCAGTTACTGTGTATTTTACAGATTTAATGACTGACGGAGAAATAATGAACAAAATTCACTATTCTTACCAAACTGTTTTAAAGGATGTGATTTACCTCCATGATCCCAAATTTATCTGAAGAAATGCTTCTGTGGTGGCGAAGACGTTCTGCAAATATTGTGCAGACAAGTCTAGCATATTGATTCATCCCTGCCTCTTTATGGATTATCCCTGTTTTGGGAAGAAATGATAAGTTGCTTATACTCGCAGTTTCCAGAGAGAGTCAGGTTGCTCCCTTGGTCTAGGCCTGCAAATTCAAGTGAAGCCAGTGAAGTTGCACAGGTGCAGAAGCTGACCTTCACTATCTAGTCATTTATATGGCCGAATGGTGCAGATTGGTTCCATATGGCTTAACTTCTATTAAAAAGTTAATCATGTTAATGGTGTATTAACCTACTCAAATGTGATATTTGAAGAATAATGAGAATTACCAGTGTAGTGTAAAACATATTGAATCATAACCATGTGAAACGTTTATTATAGAGGATGAAAAAAGACTTTTTTTTTTCCCCTAATGATTTTAAAAGAAAATCCCCTGCAGATAATGAACACAGATTTTGGGGGCTTTTTTCCCCTTAACTAAAATTAGTATCTCTGTTCTTTATTAATCAGAGTTAAAGGAAATTATCCATTTTAATCTGCCAGGAAGAAATTTAGTTATGAACTTGTCTTTCATAAACATCTCAAATATAATTTGAATAAGAGCTGACTACCTGAGAATATTGGATGAATATAGCGAACAGGTCCTGCTCTACTGGCTCAGCCTCACCATCAATCTAGTCTGTTCACTTACTTCTGAGAATGGCTGGTAACAAGGTTATTAAGAAAAGTGCAGGAGGTAACTCTTCCTGTCTTAACCTCTAGCAATGCAGGATTTATGTTGTGAATATTGGTGATTTTTATCTTTTTACAA